TCTAAAGTTATGTGTGTTGTGGTTTCCGGTCTCTTTGGGGAACAAGCCACGCCCACTCCCGTTACCTCTGACCTTACCGCTGCCATCTCGCCCGTTTTCCCTTTCTGTTCCCTTGATGTGCGCACCTCTCTCTCTCTCTCTCTCTCTCTCTCTCTCTCTCTCTCTCTCTCTCTCTCTCTCTCCCCCCCCCCTCCATTCCTCCCTCTCTCTCTCCCTCAATAAATGTTTTATGGCTATTTTCTGTGTCCATGGGTCTGCTCACATCCGCTGCATGGCTTCCCGCTGATGGGAACTCTGCCGCCACTCGCTGCTCGGGTGCCAGACTCCAGAGCCGGTGCCCAGCACCCGCCCGCCCCGCTGGGGATCCGACGGAGCTCGCTGCTGCCACAGTGGTGGCGCACGCCTTTAATCCCAGCACTTGGGAGGCAGAGGCAGGAGGATCTCTGTGAGTTCGAGACCAGCCTGGTCTACAAGAGCTAGTTCCAGGACAGGCTCCAAAACCACAGAGAAACCCTGTCTCGAAAAACCAAAACAACAACAACAACAACAACAACAACAACAACGTGTATGTGTGGACTCCAGGAAGGAGTTCACAATCAACCAATTTTGGGTGGTCTGAGATTCTCCCGAAACGAATGCTAACACTGTTTCATCATCTTCTTTTGAACTTCCAGGACTTCAAGAAGTTTCTCCCTTCTCTTTCCTCATCTTTCCTCATCGAACTCTCTGCTCTCTGCTGTTTAGGGCACAAGAAAGCAAAGGTCACCGTCACGTCTTTTAATAATGAAGCTAGTGGTTTCTGTGTAGGAGGAGGACATCTTTGGCCTTGCCCTCAGTACCAGCAATAGCTCTCAGCTCTCTTTTAGTGAGGATTTTACTGTTAACTGCAATGATGTGGTTGTCACATTCATGCCATACCAAATTCTGCACCTGAGAAATGAACTCACATGAGGGTCTAATGAGAATATTTTTATTATTTTACCAATTAACAGGTAATTAGAATAAACCTATTCTGTGTTATTTGTATTTAGAAAAAGAAATACACAAATCCAGATAATACTATTTTTTTTTAGCTTCCAGGGAAGGCTTTAATGTTGGCATTTGCAGCAAGAGAACTGTTAGTTAATGTTCTTTTGCTCAAGGGTGATCGTAGAGGACTCCTGTGAAAGGGGTTGAAGGCCTCCAGTAGGCCCAAGCTTGATAAACCTGGCACTGACAGGCCTTGTCCTCCTCCCCCATTCCCTCTTCCTTATTAAGAACAAAACAACAACAAAAAACCCATTATCTTACATTCCTAAAGCTAGCCACTAAGGTCTAATCCCTTATTTGGCTGTTTCCTCCCCTGAGGCTATCAAAGTATTGAAGTTCAACAATCAGAAGTCCCCTGTGGTTATCCTAATTAACATGTCCAATCAAAACATACCAACTCATCCTAACACGGGGGTTTCCCCTTTTACTTTATTAACTGCCCTTTGCCTATGAGCCATGTGTGTCTACACACACACACACACACACACACACACACACACACACATTCCTCTATCCAGAGGCAGTCTTTTGTCCCACCAGAGCAAATATCCATTCCCTATTTACCTCCTTCTCTTCCCCTTCTCCCTCATCTTCTATCTCTTAAATGTGTCCCCTATTCCCTTTCCTTTGTCCCTCCAGGGCAAATCAATCTTGTGCCGATTCTGGTCCTTTCAAGGGTCATGACCTACAGAATGAGAACCACTGTTCTACAACCTCCTGAGAGGCACCGATAAATCTTGTTTCAGCTTCCTCAGACTTGTGAAATTTGCTCACTTCTTGAGTAATAAGGGTCTTTGCCTCCTTCTTTAAGGGAATGCTTCTATTCAGAGGAAATGGTTATATAACAGGAAGGGAGCTATATCCTCAGTAGTAGAAGAAAAATAATAGCATAGAATTAGTATCATACTTTCATATAGAATAAAGAAATTCGAATAGGAGAGATGGCTCAGCAGTTAAGAGCACTGCCCACTCTTCCAAAGATCCCAAGTTCACTTCCCAGCAACCACATGGTGGCTCACAACCATCTGTAATGATATCTGGTGCCCTCTTGAGGAAGAGACCTGGTCAGTTGACCTCATCAACTTAGACCATGAAACCCAATATGAACAAGTTCAACAGAACCACCAACATAATGGCTGCCCATGCATGTTTCAATTTTTTTTTTATTATACTCACCTAGGAAGAAGGAACAATTGAAAAATTGTCTTCATGGAATTGGTCAGTTTCTGAGGCTTTTTATCATTCTTTTTCTTTCTTTTTTCTTTTTTTGTGTGTGAGACATTTTCTTAATTGCTAATTGATGTAGTGGGCCCAGTCCACTGTGGACAGTGGCATTCCTAGGTGACTATGCCTAAACTGTGTACCAAAGCTAACTGAGCAAGCTGAAGGGAATCAACCAGTAGGAAGCATTTCTCAATTTCAGTTTCTGTCTGTAGGTTCCTGCCTTTGTTTCCCTCAATAAGGGATTGTATCCTATAAACCAAACGCCCCACAGAAGATGCTTTTGGCAATGGTGTGACCTAGCGACAGAGGTAAACTAGGCCACCAGCTAACAAGAATGTCCAAGTTCCTTGATGACCTCTTAGCCACGGGGTTCATGACCCTGTATTGCAAGGGCACACTACAAGGATTCAGGGGGAGAGCCAGGCTCAGTGGACCTCTGCCACCCCCACTCTTCATTCGTTCCATGACAGACAGGTGATCATTCTCTTAGTGAATGGCATGCCTCGTGCCAGCCTTACGCTGTCTTAGCTGGCAGCACAAGGCAGCAGGCCAGACTTGGGAAGAGTGTGCTGTGGTAGTGTGAAGGGGGTTCCATTCAACTTCATTCTCAGTCTGCCGATGTCTGGGGAAAGTATTAAATGTTACAGACAAAATGGACTGGAACATAACTGTTACTATTTGGGACAAATCAAGGTGAAGATAAGGGTTAAAGCAGTGGTTTAATAAGGATATTAATATGTAGGATTGGATTACTCCTTTCAACACTGTTCTGTGTGTTCTAGCTTCAAAAAGGTACTTCTTATGGTTGGGGCTGGCACAATTCAAACGGAATACAATGTACTTGTTAAGCAAGTACTTGTGTAAATACTTTCAGTGCGTGTTTGCGTGCGTGCGTATGTAATACATAAATCAGTGGTGTGCAAGAGAAAACCAGCAACTGAAAACGAAACAAAGTAAAACAAAAATCAACAAGCATATAAAAACCCAAACCAACAGTCCTGAGTATGAGTCAGACAAAATTAAAACTACCAAGTCAGAAATACTTCAGACTTGGGGAGGTGGGGGAGGGAGGCAGAATGTGTTTGCCCAGCATGCACGAAACTCCGGAGTTTGGTTAAGAGCACAGCAGAAACTAGGCTCAGGGTGCAACAGCTATATAAGCCTAGTACTTGGAGAAAGGCACAAGAAGATCAAGGTCATTTTTGGCTACATAGTGATTTTGAGATCATCCGAAGACCCTATCTTAAAATAAAACAAACCAGTTTCAGACTGAAGACACACACACACACACACACACACACACACACACACACACAGAGAGAGAGAGAGAGAGAGAGAGAGAGAGAGAAATCTAAAATCGCTAGGAAATTTATAAGATTGTATTTATAGCTAGGCACCATAGGGCACACTTGAAGTCTTAACGCTTGGGAGGCTAAGGCAGGAGAACCGAGTCTGAGGCAGGCTAGTGGGACTATCTTTTGAGGCCCTAACCTTAAAAAAAAATAATAAAAACAAAAGCAAAAAGCAAGCAAGCAAGAAAGACAGGAAGAAAGAAAATGCCCTCTTAAAACAAGTAGAATGCAATACTTGGTTCTCTTTCTAAAGTTTAACTAAAATAGTGACACCTTTAATAAAAACTTCTGCATGACCTAAGTATTACGATTACGAACAAGTCCTGGCTTAAGGCTTCCGAAAACTCCTTCTTTCTCTGCATGGAGACGCTTTATGTCTGTCCTGTCGGAAGAGGATTTTACTTTTGTCAGGGTATTTTTACTCTTGGAGACATCGCCCCCTGCTGTACTAGATACTTAACTGCAAAACGGATGCGGAAAAAAGACAATTATTAAAAGTGAAAGAGACTTTATTTTGAATAGCATATATAACAGTCATTGCATATAATATTTATAGTGCATAGTTATGTGTGAAAGCATACAAGGGGAAACATTAAAAACACCCAAGAATGGGAGTGTGCAGGCAAGAAGACAGCAAGCCTAGAGGTAGCGGAAGAGAGTTTCCATGGCGTAAGACTGAAAATCATGCAAAAACTATCGCCATGGCAGGCAAATGACATCAGCACAAATTACAATTCCCTAAGTATGAAATCTATACATACTCTTTGGATTAAAATAACCTAAGTGAATAGCTTGCTTTTATCATCTAGACAACAAACAAAACAAAACAAAAGAGTCTATAAGCAAAGTGCACATATTGTTCCGCCACATACATATAAAATACCCAAGGCCATACATGGAGGTCACTGGACGGCAGAAGAGAACACGGAGAGGTAAATACAAAGAAAGGCAATGAGAAGAGTCCCCTCCGCCTCTAGAAGGAGACGCTTCCGAAGGCTTAGGCGTTGGGACACCCACTACGCAGCACCCCGAGTGTCTGCAGAAGGAACTCACTGTGCATCACAACGTTTGAGACAGGCTAAGTGCGAGTGTTACATCAGGCACATCTAATTTCTTTACATTTTCCACGTGAATCAAAGCATAGGAGTCAACATGTTCATCTCTCCCAGGACACTAGCTTTTAAGTGATATATATTATTTGGCACTAAGGGTACGCCATTATAAAGATCAATTAAATTCAAGTTTCCAACTCAAAGATTTCATGTGTGGAAATAAAAGCGACACTTCTTCATTGTTCTCTCTATATTTTTTTTTAAATCACATGCTTAAAGCAGTAATTTAAAATTAAGACAGACAAAATTCCTAAGGTTAAAAAATATACTGGACAAAATCTTCTCGTTTGCTATATAGTTTTTTTTCTTTTTATTAGTTTTTCCAATTGCCTTGTATCATGAAATGCAGGCCATTGTAAATAGCTATGGCCCAACACCGCTCGGTGTTCTCCTCCTAGGACATCAGCTTCTTGCACTCCACGGAGCAGAAAACCATCCCTTCTACAGGCATGAACTTCTGCCCAATAAGACACTTGCTGCAGCAGGAGCAGAGGAAGCACTCTGTAGACGCATGCCAGCTGAAGCTATTGTAGGTCACTCTCTGCACTTCCGGGTCGATGGCGTTGTGGCAGCCCTGACACACCTGTGTGGGGATAAAGTCAGCAGAAGACGGTTAGAGACCAACCATGTCCATGTCAGCCACACTGGCGCCCAAGGGCAAATGGAACCCGAGTCTTCAGATGGTAAGTTTGAAAAGGAATGAAAAATAGGCAAGTGATAGCAGCATCTTTGGGAATCACTGAAGCCAGCAGGGATCTGTATATGCTGAGCAAGGTGAGAAATAGCAGGTAAAGGCAAACAGGTGGAAGCCGCTCCTAAGCTGCCCCTATGGTGTTACAAATAGGATGTTACTGCAGTCAACCCAGGAGCACTGCATTTGGTTCCAGTTCATTAAAGCTTTGAAGTGGTAACATCATACCTATGACACGGACATGTCATGCCTCTCACATGTGATTATTAATACCACTAATCTCTAGAGAGTAGGAAATTAAAGTCATTTTCAAATTAATTAAGGATTCAATTAAAAATACTGAGAGTACTTGAGAATAATGAGTTCACACCATAAATATAGCTCCGATTAATTAGTTTCCATTTCGTCATAATTTATCTGTCATCTAGGCCATGGACTTTAATACTTCCATCCCCTGTACCACTCAGTTTGTGTTCCATGGACAAGGTCTCAGGCTGGGCCCAAATTCTCCACACTTCTCCCTCTGCCTCCCAAGTGCTGAGATAATGGTTGGGCGCCATCATGCCTGATTTATGTCTGCAGTGCTGGGGATCAAAGCCAGGGCTTTGCACACAATGCGCCAACTAAACTATAGCCCCAGGCCGCCCTTCAGTGCCCTGTGTGTTATACTCAAATACACAAAGGATGCAGACACACTCATACATACACACACAGCATAATATTCTTCGGAACTGCACATACCTATGAAAAGAGAAAACGATATTCTATATTATTGCAGAAAACTTATTCAAGAATCTCAAAGCCACCTGTGCAATCAGGGCCTTCAAGGGAACAGTATCCTTTACCACAATGGGCCTGGCAGGACACGTCCTGTGTTCATAAACCTCACGCAGCTCAGAGAGCTGTTTCCTCCCATCCTTCTTGCTTCTTGCTTCTTTTATTTGAACACGAGATGTGAGGTAGCTAATTCTTTTTTTGTTTTTCAAGACAGGGTTTCTCTATAGCTTTGGAGCCTGTCCTGGAACTAGCTCTTGTAGACCAGGCTGGCCTTGAACTCACAGAGATCCTCCTGCCTCTGCCTCAGTGCTGCGATTGAAGGCGTGTGCCACCACCGCCAAGCAAGGTAGCTAATTCTATTCGTTGTAAATGGCTCTCTCACAGGTGGACCCCGTGAGCCTCCCAGATGTGAATCCTGGGTGGCCATGAGATCCCGGAGCACATGGAGACAAACCAAACTAGGTATCTGGCCATGTCACATCTCCTCCCAGTTAATGTTTATCTCAGAAATCCTGCTTAGACTGAGGATATTTCTTCAGGTGTAAAAAATAACTGTTTTCTCTGTCACCTTTAAAATAATATTAAAATATTTTTCAAATTAACCCTGTGAGGCCAATGATCTCCAAAGATTTACATCAGGTAGCACGCTGCATACACAAACATCTTTCCCCTTCAGGTGGGATAAAGATGTCTTGTTTTAATATTAGGCAAAGCCAATGGTTCGCTTTACCGAAAAAGCAACTTTTCTAAAAGAAACAATGGAGTATTATAAAATTAAATGATTAGACATTCTTTTATAAAGTGGATAGAAAACACATGAGGTAATGAGTCAAGACTGAAGATGGCGGACATCAAAATTTGCCTTTTTGTCAAAGCATCGTACGTTTAGAACTACATAGGGGTACATATTTTCCTTTCCCAGGAGTTTCCCCTATGTAATAGCTTAGAGAGACCTTAAACTAAACTTAAAAAAAAAAAAAGGTAGGTGCCTATCGTTCTGATATTCCTGGTTTATGAGCCAGACTATATATGGTCATCTTTTCGCCCTGTATCTGCACTACCATCTCTTGGCCAGCATGCAGCAGCAGCTCTTGGGAACACAATGGATGCAATAAAAAAATACACACTTGCACATTAAGCACCTGAATGGTCCACACAATAAATCTAAATAGAAAGGTCAGTTTTTGTTGTACTACATCAGTTCCACGAGGGTTTAAAAAACAGTCACTGCGTCATTTCCAGGGAGTAAAACAAGGTCCTAATGGGTAAGTTAGTAATATATACAGAAACTATTTTAATTTTTTTCAGTGTATTCATTTTAGTATTTTATGTGCATGAGTGCTTTGCCTGCAGTATTCGTCTGTGCATCATGTATGAGCCTAGTGCCTGAAGAGGACATCAGAAACCCTCGGACTGGAGGTTCGAATGATTTTGAGCAGCCGTGTGGGTGCTTAGAATTGAACTTGGGTCCTCTGGAAGAACAACAAGCTCTCAAAACTGCTGCGCCCACTCTAAAGTCTCCAGAAACCATTTTAAATAGAATCTGATCTATAGTAAGAATAAATCCATTCATCGTAAAAATTTACTTTTTGGTTAGGAATTTATCAGCAAGAACCATATATAATCTACATGGCAAACACACAGGTAGAATGAGCCACCTTGAGGTCCCGGCTGTCATTGCATTTGCAGCTTCTGAACTGCCTGGTTTTAAACAGCCCATGAAGGAACCACAAGCTTTCTTTATATAAGGTTGGCTCTTGGCTTCCCATTTTCAGGAGATCAGAAGAGAGGCGGACACTGAAGTCAGCAGACTGGCTGGGGCCAGTGTGTCCCCGCGTCGCTTACCACGGCATGGTTCTTCACGTAGCAGGGCTTGCACACAGGCTTGTCGTTGACCATCACGTATATCTCTCCCGCCAGGATGTTGTCACAGTCAAAGCAGCAGAAGTGCTTCAGGTGCCAGTTCTGATTTTCCGCTTGGGTATATTCATTGCTGAATATCAACTGGCCAGAGGAGAAAAGTACAACCCATTAGTCATCTCCTTCTGTAGACCACAGTGACAAACCCGGGTTCTCTAGACAGGCAGTTATATCAACAAGAGCAGATGCCTTCTTGGGGTTCGATATTTGAAAATGGTAACATTTACGTCTGAATTTATTATTAAAATCAATTGGTTTCCGATAGTCTTTGGTTAGTTTACTCGGGACACGCAGAGTGGAAAGTAACCAAGTTTTCCTGCATGATTAGTGCTTGCTGAAAGCCTGTTGGCTGCTGGCTGAGGGAGCCAGAGGCTGCAAGCGGGTGGCCCTAGAGAACACACCTCATCACAGCCAGCACAGCGGGGCTTCTCGCTGTCACAGTAATGGCGGCCACAGTATAGCTTCCCATTCTTCCAGAAGTAAATCATGTCGACTAGGAGTTCGCCGCAGGTGCTGCAGATGAAACAGGCCGGGTGCCAGAGTTTATCATAGCCGGCCCTTTCCGCGTAGATGGCTGGGTCTCCTTCCTTCATGGTCTGTTTGCAGCAGTAACATGACTGGAGGAGAGAACCCGAACAAGAATCATCAGAGCACCGGTGTCCCAGACCCTGCTTCAGGGCAACGGCTTCAAGAGAGGCCATTTCTTGGAGAGGGGAGGACCTTGGACTTCCCACAGGACAGGGAACCCTGACTACTCTTTGGACTGGAGAGGGAGGGGGAGGGGGAATGAGGGGAGGGAGAGGGAAATGGGAGGCGGGGAAGAGGTGAAAATTTGTAATAATAATAATAATAATAATAATAATAATGAGAGGCTATTTCTTTTTTTTTGTTTTTTTTTTTTTTTGCTTTTTTTTTTTTTTTGGTTTTTCGAGACAGGGTTTCCCTGTGGTTTTGGAGCCTGTCCTGGAACTAGCTCTTGTAGAATGAGAGGCTATTTCTAAAGACGTGACAAGACAGAGTGAATACGCCCATGAAATGGAATTGCTCAGCTTCTTCCTAACCCAACCGCTTCTTTCACCCTGTGTAAAACACGGCGCTGTTTCTTGCGTGGAAGTCACTCGGGGAAAATAATTTCACCTCAATTTTATCAGTTCCCTCAAAAACTATTATCTAAAGCTGATAGAAAACTTTTTGAAGATTAAACGGTATTAACTGATTGCTAACTGCATCTATGAGAAATACATTACAGTTCAGGCCTGATGCTTTGTTTATCTGCATCGTGATTCTCCTTCACGTTCAAGTCGTTACAAAAAAAGAAAAAAAAAAAACTCTCTGGAAGAGACTTTAAAACACTTGCCAATACAGCTGCATACATCAAGTCTGAATCTTAGGTATGGTCTTACAAGCAAAACTAGATTAACCTAAGCATAATTCATTCTTATTTCTGTCTAAAGATAAACTCTGTGATTGAATTTGAGGCCTGTTCCATAAGAGGGAATTCATACTTGTTACTATAAACCCAGCCAGAACCCATGGCTGAGGTGGTGCTAGGCAGGAGCTCACTACAGTTGTCCAGCGGCATTGATCCAGCCAGACACTGCCTTCTACATGTTCCTGTTTATGCTCATAAACAAAGGCTCCCCTTGGCCTTAGTCATAACGAATGAAGATTCAGACGGCTCAGGTAGCTGAGGCTAGGTGATGGCGAGTGCTCAGCTCCAAAGAGAACATTTAGAGCACTCAGGGAGCCTCTAGGGGAAAAGGGCAGGAAGAGTCTGAAAACTAGAAAACAGGAAAGCGAGAGCTGTGAAATGTCTTCTGCACTTTTCCAATACAGTTAGGATCACATAGCGGTGGAGGCTGTCTGCACTGGGCCTGCACAAGACTGGGCCAGTCAACAGTCAATCATGCATTAGGGAGGGCCTCACAGGCGGCATGACTTCCTTGCTGAACTATGGGTTACTGGGTTATGGGCAGCCATTGTCTTCATCTGGGTACCCACTAGGCTCCAAAGCAGAGTTCCAACCCCAGGGCCACAGGGTCTTGGTGAAGCTCAGTAGATCATAAAGAACGGAACGAGTGTGAGAAAGGGACATGGGGGCTTAATGGGTGTGAGAGGAAGATAAGAGAGGGATGGGACAATCAGGATATATTATATACATGTGTGAAATTGTCAAAGCACAAGTTGACTCAAACTTGAGAAAGGAACAAACGTTTCATTAATACGGGTGTTAATAAAAAGTTCAGCAGGAATTGACAGGCGCTCCCTTACTATGATCTGCATGTATTACTATGATCTGCATATATGTTAGATACAGAGACCCAGTGTATTCTTTGCTGAAGTCCGTTAAGGAAGCTGATAGTAATTAATGGCATCACCACTCAGTGTTACACTGATGATATTAGCCAATGCTAGCCAATGTAATAAACTACAGAAACATTTGATATATAAAAGATAACTAGTTAACATAAAGATTATGTTCAGAAGAAAATGTTGGGCTAGAGAGATGTCTCAGCAGTTAAGAGCACCAGCTGAACTGGGCAGTGGTGGCGCACGCCTTTAATCCTGCACTAGGGAGGCAGAGGCAGGCGGATCTCTATGAGTTGGAAGCCAGCTTGGAATACAAGAGTTAGTTCCAGGACAGCCAGAGCTATACAGTGAAACCTTGTCTCAAAACAACAACAACAACAACAACGGGCACCAGGCTGCTCTTCCAGAGAACGTGGGTTCAATTCCCAGCACCCACATGGTAACTCACTACTGTCTATATCTCCAGTCGCTGGGCATCCAAAACCTCTTCTCGTCCATGGGCATTGTGGATATAAAGTACACAGATATACAGCCAGGCAAAAATCACCCATACACACAAAAATAATAAATAAATAAAACATTCAATTTTTTTTGAAAGAAACAGATGCTAGGTTGGTTTATTATATTCAAGTAAGAGGCCAAGGTAAAGCCAACTACGGTGACCACATAAACTCAAGATTATTCTTTAAAATAATCAGAAAATGTAGCTTCAGACAGACCTCCCAAACATAACTCTCCCAGCTCAGTCCAAACTGAACTCTGACCTGTTTTCTTTCCCTTGTTCATTCCTTTTAGAAAAAAAGTGTTCTAAGAAAGGAAGCATCTATGAACGGAAGGCAACAGTCCGGCTACTCACATACTGGGTCTTCTTGGGCTCGGCAGACTTGTCCTTGGGCAGCACGGCGGCTGGAGTGTTTCTATCCCCAGCAGGACTGTGCAGCTTGTCACCCTGGGCGTTCATCTCAGAGGGGAGCTTCACGTCACCCACCCCCAGAGCCTCGCTCTTGTACTTCTTCACAAACTGCTCCATCTCCTTCACTTCCTTGGGTGACAGCTCATGGCACTTAGATGGGTCCTGGTCATGGGCAGGGAGCTGCTTTGCCAGCTGCTTCTTCCGGTACTGTGCCCCCTCCGAGCCTGCCACCGGCTGCTTCTCTTTGGGCAGCATCTGCATGTACTGCCTGGCCTGGAGTGCAGGGAGGTGGGTGTTAAATGGGGTTAGTCAATCTTTCATAACACACCAGAAACAAGTTTACTCAGGAAGGGCAGTTCATCCTTCGCTATAAACAACTAGAGACAGTAAAACATAAAAAGCAGGTTTCTGTGAACATAGAAACACATTTTTCTCCATGAAATCAGCCCCCTCCATCCAGTTTTCAGAACATTTGCATCGCAACTGTTTAGCTGCGCTGAATCTACAGATGCGTGGCTATGAGAAGATTTTGGGTAGATCACTGAGTGCGCGTGGATCAGTGGCTCTTTCTGCACATACAAACGTCACTGCGAGATTTACTGTAATGGTGACCTACTGACCTTGCAATGCTTCATCCACTTGTCATAATAATGGAAGAAGCTTGATGCAAAATCACATTTTTTTGCCTTTTATAGTAAAAGAAATATAATGTTGGAGCATTTTTCTTCAGTTCTAAATAAAGTCAGAAGTGCTATTATTTATTCCTCCTCATCTTGGGAAAAGTTTTGTGAGTATACCAGAAAATCGGGCAGATTGATAAAAAAAACCTCTCAATTATTTTAATCTGATTTTCATATAATTACTAAAATTGTTAGAAAGATTCCTTTAAAATCAGGTAAATTAGACATTCAAAAAGTCTATGAGTTATCTAGACTCATATTTTAAAATGTAGTAATCGGAACCTAAGGTCTCTATAATAGGAACTCCAGGTAAACAGATGTGTAGCGGTTGACTCTATTACAGAAGGAAGTACTAGGGTACTAAGTACTTTCTAGTTCCTAAGTCTAGCAACAACAGCAAGAACAACAAAAGTCTCCTCCCTCATCCTCCTTCCCCCAGTACTTACCAGTGCCTGGTTCTGGACCGGGGGAGCCCACTCATAGGTAACAGTGTTGATGGAGACATTCTTCTTGGCAGCAACCGGATTGGTCAATATCATAACATTGCGTTTATACATGGGAATTCCATCTGATTTCAGCTTGGCAATCAAGGTGGTGTACTTGGTGTCTTCAAAGAGTTTCCCCACTTTCCGATCCTCCTCGGTGCTCAGGAGGACATCATGTTCTTCTTGTCCGCATTTGCAGTTACGGCATATTTTTCTATAATTTGGGGGAAAGCAGAAAATAACCAACTACACCTAATTGGTGACAGCTACATACGTGCAGTCCTTCATGGCTCATAAAATACTTTAGAAGGTATTATATATAATAATATAAACAAGAAAATACTTTCTTGCATGGGGAGGGATGAATATTCATAACTTAAGAAAGACACATGAAAACACATCCTTGCTTTATTAGACTTCGACAAGCCAGGTTATAACTAAAAAGTGCATATTTGAGAAGGCCGGTCTGAGGATGACCTTGTTCCTCACACCTTACCCTCTAACCAAAATAAATAAACACATAGAGCTGCCCAAACTATCACAGCAAGAGATGCCACATCTCCTTCTTCCTATAAGCAGCCTGAGGTGACCTGGGAAGATGGTTCACTACTGGACAAAATTGTGCAAATCAAGAGGTTTGAATCTTTGGGTTCATTTTAAGAACTCCCACGAGACTGCCCAGGCCATCAAGGGTATGCATATCTGAAAAGCCGCCAAGTATCCGGAAGGTGCCCTCCTGACCTATGTGTTGGAGTCTGTAGGTGCACCCAAACCAAACAGTGGGGCTGGACACAGGGTCGGTGGCGAAGAAAGAAAATTTGCTGCACATGCTTCAAAATGTAAAGAGTGATGCCAAACCGAAGAGCTGAGAGGTAGGGTCTCTAGTCATTGAACACATCCACTGGAATGAGATTTACAGAGCTCATGGCCAGACTAACAAGAGCTTCCCCTGCCTCATCCAGATGACCCTCCCTGAAAAGGAACTAACTGTTCCAAAGTCAGAAGGGGAGGGTGCACAGAAGAAAAAGATATCTCAGAAGAAACAGAAGAAACAAAAACTTATGGCATGGGAGTAAATTCAGCATAAAATAAATACAGATAAAGATAAAGTGTGTGTGTGTCTGAGAGAGAGAGAGAGAGAGAGAGAGAGAGAGAGAGAGAGAGAGAGAGAGAGAGAAAGGGTGGGGAGGGAGATCTCACATTCTATTTATTACCTGTTATTATTCCATGTCTTTTCCCAAGTTTTTTTTTTTTAAGTTAAGTAAAAGATTTATTATTTCCCCCGTAAAAGACCAAGATCCTACATTTAGGTTTATAGCCTATCTCAATTTCCTTTCCTCTCAATTCCTCTCCCTTTCCTTTCCATTTTCATATTTTCTTTCCCTATTCCTTCCTTTCATCTCTCATTTTTTCAAATACTTATCTACCAGCTGTCATGTATTTTATTATTTATAAGAGAAAAATGGCCTGGTATTAGGTTCTGGCCAGCCAAGGCTACCTATTGACACTATGACTCCAAAATAAGACAAATGAATCAATGATCCTCTGGACTCATGATGTTCGTTGCAGTTTAAGAACAAAACCATGCTCCACCTATCTCTCTAGCATCAGACATTCACTCATGCAACCGACATGTGTGTCCATGAGTCAAGCAGCATGCTTGAGACCAGGATGTAGTAGTAAGGGCAGCGGGGCTGTGTTCCCAGCACCCTGGCCGCCTGCTCGGCTAGCTTATGCCCCAAAATAATTACACAGACACTGTATTCTTTTAATCACTGCTTGGCCCATTCTCTTCTAGGCTAATTCTCACATATTAATTTAACCCATTTCTAATCATCTGTGTATGGCACCCCAAGGTGCGCTTACCGGGGAGATTCTAGCCTAGTCCATCCTGGGTCGGAGCTTCATCCCGGGAGCGGGGCATGGCGTCTCTCTCTGAGGCGTCTGCTCCCGAGAGAACTGTGGAGTCTCTGAGCTCACTTCCTCTTCCTCCCAGCGTTCTGTTCTGTTTACTCCTCCCACCTATCCTCTAACCAATAAAATGGGCCAGGGCAGTTCCTTTATTAGCCAATAACCTTCCTCCATCATTTCCCCTTTTTCGGTTTAAACAAAAAAAAAAAGGCTTTAACTTTAACATAGCAAAATTAGATATAACAAAACAGTTATCAAGTAAAAGTTATAATAATCTTTATCATAACTAAGGAAAACTATAATTATAACTAACTATTCTTATATTAGCCAATGACCTTCCTCCATCACCAGGACCCAATGAAAACCACAGATTTAACCTTGGTTGTAGTTGTTTAGTTTTTCAAGACAGGGTTTCTCTGTGTAACAACCCTGACTGTGCTGGAACTCACTCTGTAGACCAAGCTGGCCTTGAACTCACAGAGATTCACCAGCCTCTGCTTCCCCAGGGCTGGGATTAAGGGCATGCACCACAACTGCCTGGCTTGATCATCTAAAATCTACTTCCTGGTGAGATGATTACACAGACACACACAGACATATTTTAATTGCATCTGTGTTAGCAGTGGAAAAACAGACTCCCTTGACTGTAGAATTTTTACTTCAACCTGGTAAGGAAAGGGTTCGAAAAGAAACTGGCATTTAAGTTTCGAGATGAAAGTTTCATAAACCATAAGTATGGGGGTGTGCAAGTGTGTATCTGCGGATGGGGAAAGGACAAGAAAAGGCTCCCAACACAGGAATAGAAAGAGGAGTATTTGTAGTGGCCCTAAAGGAGGAAAGGGATATTCACATGGGTCCCATACCAGATAAGGCTAGCAGTGAATGAGTGAGAACAGATGAGGCTGGAGATGGAGACAGGCACGAGACACTTGCAGGAGCATTGTGCAGAGTTTGACCTTCATTGTAATAGCATTTGCGAGTTATTGAATCACAGAGATGTAGTAACATGAACAGACCTACAATTTCAAACACCACACAACCTACCATGCAGAGACTGGAATAAAACATACTTGAAGGCTATGTGTTAATTGTGCGTTGAGTTAGCAGTGGTGTGGTTCTTAATACAGCACCACCGTAGCTACTTTTAATGTAACTCATATGTTTGGTGGTCTGTGCTGTGCCATGGGTAAGATATACTACAGCTCTCAATAGGGCATTAGAGAGTGGGATCAAAAAGAAGAGATTTCAGATCTTCTTACAAGCAAATATAACTAAACCCTGTCATTGATTTGGACTTAGTGATATTCTCTCAAAAAAACCCAAACAAACAGATTTTGGTAATGAAAAAGATGGTAAAATGAATGTTGGATTCATCAAGATTAAATACAAAAGAAAAATAGATTTGAGGTAAGGAGTGGGAAAAGATGAAAGGTTGAATATCTTCTAGGCTAAACTACTGTAGGATTTGGATTGCCTGTGATATGGGATAATGATATTAAGTAGACTACAATAAACAAAAATATAGTGTTAACCTTCTGGTGAAACAAAACGCCCTCAAATCTTGAGATTCGGAGAGCAATGTGAAAACTGTGTCAACCACCTTCTCCTCCTGGGGGAAGCATGTTGGGAAAGGCTGAGGAGCAGAGGGTGTCTGGCAAGGACCAAACTGGGAAAGGTGACAGAGGAGGTAAAGAGATAGGGGGGCTCTGTGGTATTAAAGTTTTAAGCTTGGATGGAAATATGGGGCAATGAAATTGATCATTTCAAGAAGCATTCTGCAACCTTAGATTACTCAGCAGGCCAACACAGATGCAAGTTAGCATTAGATACTGTTAACCATGTGCCAAATCACACAGATCGCTAGCAAAACTTTAGAGCTTAGCCGCTCATACCAGAGAGGAAGAAAGGATGACTACAGGGTGAAGAATTCCACCCAGGAAAGTGTGGGAAAAGGTCAACTAACTCTAAACCATGAGGGATAAAGACAAGAATGACAGGGGGACTAATCATGTGAAGGTGACTCCTGGACGCTCCCGACATCTCTCTTGAGCGCCATTGGTCTTTGTCTCTCAACAGAAGACTGGAGCCGACGCTGACCCCTTCCCTCCCCGATCTGATGTTTATGAGAGGGAGGTGGTGAGCTGGGATGGGGAGTGTGCTGTAGGGATGTGAACCACAGCTGGTTCCATTCTCTTAACAATGTCTTTCTGCTGTTTCTGTTTTCTTAATAACTCATAGCATGACTGTCCAAAGAAATAAAAATCAGGAGGAAAAACACAAATACCCAATCCCAGTCCACCAAATACTGAGCACACATTTGTAGTTAGTATATTAATTTTAAGATTTGAAGCTAGAAACTAACCGTACTATCTACAATTCTATTCATATTTTCCTGTAGGTATTTATTATTCGGAGCACAGAGAAGAAAATTAATGAAACACAAGTAATCAGATTCATCAGGAAGGTAGGAAGGAAGGAAGGAAGGAAGGAAGGAAGGAAGGAAAAAAGGAAGGAAGGAAGGAAGGAAGAAAGGAAAAATGAATTCTGGAGTTGTACCCTGATGCTCTGACTGGCCACATAAAGGTGTAAAGCATTAGCATGAAGAAGATTCTAACTGGATTTCAGATTTAGAGTTGAAATTTTATGCCAGAACCAGGAAAAACGAAGCGCTAAGAGATAAATGGATGTCTTTGCCAAATAACACATTCTTATATAATTAAATGTTTTTGTGCCTCCCGTGTTCTTAAAATTCTTTTTAGTACATGAACTGGAAACACTAGGCATGCTGTGGAGAGAAGAAACAAGAGAGAAAGGAGACAGGGAGAGGAGAGGGAGAGGCGAGAGACAAAGCGGGGGGCAGTTATGGGAGTGAGCAGGCACATCACTTTTCTTGTACACATCTTGGTCAGGAAACTTTATTTGGTAAAAAATATATGTGGAGAATTAGTGTATTTTATTATAGCTATAAAAGATCCCTTCTTCCCTCTGGTTATCTCATACCCCCATCTAGTGGAGTGGATCTTATCACCCATCTACGGTGTGTTCTTCACTCGCCTGCTGTTATCCAAGGGAATGATCTACAAAACTATCGCATGGTGCTTAGATCAAGATTACAGCTACACCTTCTGGAGAGGGAATGAGGCAGAGGAGGAATTTAGTTCTCAAGACTGGTAAACAGATCGTTACAAGCCAGGGCCTATCAGGTGCAGCCTAGCAATCAGCAAAGTGACTGCTTCTCGGAGCAGGCATATAAGGCGACTCAGACTTTGGATTTGGTGACCTAAGTTTGCACCGGTAAATATG